TCTGAAATCTGAATATAATAGCAATACTAGCTCATAACCTTCCTTGTTCTTGCCTCTCGGGATAGAATCATAGAACACACTACACAAGTTATACGATTGTTTGAGCAAATACATAATTAACCCTAATCATTTTTTAATGCTTGCTAGTTTTTTGTTCTACGTCTCGCATTTAGACTCACCCAACTCAAGCTAAAAAAACTTAACAGGATCCATCCTAGTTAAGATTAAGCAATTGTGCAACCCTTTCGAGCGACAAGCTCTTCCATCAAGCATTAGAATCAATTGTATTCTTAAGAGTCAAATTCAAGACCCAATTTTAATTAAGTTGGTACAACTTTCATAGCAATTGAACCAATCACATGCTAGTTAATTGGTCATAATTCACAACATTCACTTTTTATGATGCCGTAGTAGCTGGATTTATATTTATAAGTCAAATAATGACAAGAGATTGATATATTGAAAGAAAGATTATTTTAAAAAAATTAATTATTTAATTTCTATAATTTTAACTCAATAAAAGCTTAATCCAAAATTTTGACTTGGTATAACTCAATTCATAATATTTTAATTAGGTTAAAATGTATTTCCTAAACATTGACTTGGTACAATTAACAATTTAAAATGCTGGTTCTTATATAAATTAATGAAAAAACTAATATTTTAAATGACTAAAACTATAAAAAATGAATTGCATCAATCTTTATAAAAATAAAGTTCAGGAATTAAGTTTTAATTGAATAAAAACTATCAAGATTAAAATACATTAAGTTTAATTTTAAAATTTAAAATTATAAAAACTAAGTGATTATTTTTCCTTGTTTTTTTAAATAATAGATTAACCTCACATAACCTTCAAGAAGAAGAAGAAGAATAAAACCGCACACAACCTCTTACAAGATCAAATAAAAATAGAAGACTGATCCAAATTTTGACATTCCCAACAAGCCTCCCGGTCAGGGAGATTACGTAAAGTTCATGTGACTTTAATAATATAGTTTTGAAAATTACCTTTTTTTTTGACAAAGTTTGAAAATAACTTGATATCATCTTCCCTACATGACGCATGAATGATAGTAATTTAATTTAAAAGTTTCTCAAATATTTTACTTCTTTTCTGTTATTTATACAGCTTTGGAAATATCTGACCGAGAAATATTATGAAATTATATATATATATATATATATGAAAAAAAAAAATTCTTTTCACAATAAATAATCTTTTTAACTAAAAATTATTTATAATTATAATATATACTTCTTCTCAATGTTACTTTAATATTAATTTTATTCTCGATCATTATTAGTATTAAAATTTATCATTACATTATTTTTAAAAAATAATAATAATAATTTTAAAACATTATTAATAAACTATCACCCCCACTAAAATTTTCTGGTCATTGTCCCTCGATCGCTTCATATTATCAGAAGATTTAAGCAGCCACAGGCAGAGGCAGCTTACCGGTGGAAGATGAAAAAGACGGGGTTCGTCATGAACCATTGAGTGAAAATAATTTTTCTTAAAATAACGATATTCTCGCATATATATATATATATATATATATTGCTTCCATTGATTTGTTAGCATGAAACTTAGAAGAATTTGCAGAAACAAAGATAGGAGCAGAAGGAAAAAGCAGCAGGGATTAAATGAAATGAAAAGCATGTTACAGAAGGAGAGGGAGAAAGAAGGGTCATACGATATTAGTGGAAGTGCCTGCATACGACTCATCGTTTTGTGCTTGAGTTCCCATGTGAGTCAGATCTCACAAACTGATATTTCCAGAGATGAGATCTCACAAGAAGCAACCTCTCAATATAACTCACTGTACAATTCCTTTATGTCATTTTTAATAATTCGTTGACTTTTCTCCCGGAGGAGACAACGCATTACATAGAACTTTCGCTAGTGTCATTTTTCTATTTCATACAATTTGGTCAACGCAACACCTCAGTGTGTGCTGGATAGAGGAAAAATCAATTTTCCTCCTCCAAAATCGATTTTCAGTAACTTAGCCAAACGGTCAGAAAAGACGAAAATCAATTTTGACCCCCATATGCACGTTTTCCCGTAAGCTACTTTGATAGCTTCTTGATAAACGTTTGTAAAAAATGTTGGGAAAAATTATAAAATAAGCCCAAGAAAAAATTACAAAGAAAGCACATAATTTAATACAAATAATTAAACTCTCTTCTTTTTTCTTTTTCCTTAATAAAATTTAAATTTTTGTATATTTAAAAAAATAATATTTGATATTTAAAATTAAATTAGTAATTTATATAGGTAAAATTAATTTTGATTAAATTATCCAAATATCTTCAATTTGTTAAAATCAATTTTAGAAAAATAGTATCCAAACAAATTGCGTCATAACATAATCAATTATGATTAAAATCTACCACTTAATCAATTATTTTCATAATCTATTATACCCAACTGAAATCCAAACGGACCCTCAATGACACATTTTTATTATTAATAAATAATTCCATCAATAATGACATCAGTAGAAACTTTGGCCAGTGTATTGCACGGGACATAGTAACTTGGGATGGACATGAAAATGTAATATACACATACACTGAAGTTTGAATCAAATCATGGCACAAGTTTCATTACCTTCTTACACGGCAAAGAGTTACACATAATAATTTACTCTCGTCCCAAAGTGCCATTCTCCCTAAAAAGAAAAAAATAAAACAGCCGATCAATAATTTAGATAACAACCAAATCATTTAGGATCATGACACTATTTTCTTTATATTAGTGCTTAAATTCAACATTTGACATTGACAATATAGAAAACATTAAATAAGCTTTAGAAGATAGAGAGAGACGCACGAACCTGCGGCAATTTGATTCGGAAACTTCTAGGAATAGGGATTGAGTAACACAGTTGTTGCAGTTGAATGGTTTGTCATAAGTTTAGAACATTGTCAACTGTTAGGAGTGATTTTTTTATGTAAAGAATATAAAATAAGGAAGAAAGTACGTGGCAAAACAATACGGTGGGAAGAAATCAGACTTGTCAACGTGTCGCTCGGGCCTATTGGACTTTATTAACAGCATTCTCTGACATCAGATTTGTTGAATTTCACTTGGTTGGATAATACACACTGGGTAGACTTTTGGAATCCAATTTTTTCTCTCTCTTTGACAGTAAAGATGCGTTCATTGATAACTTGATGAGAGTCAAAGCAAAGCAATGTTATGAATCTGGGATTTCGCAGAAAAAGGTTTTTGTAAACCATCTGACAAATTAATTCATTTTGAATCGCTATTTCTAATTAAAGAGGAAAGAAAATGGAGGAAGGCCAATCCCCCTTATTCTCCGCATAGAGAAGAAAATCCAATCCAGGCAAGTATAAATTTATTTTCCCTTTGATTCTCCATTTCATCTGAGTTCCAAATTATCCAATTTTGCAATGGAAAGACTAAATTGTATTCCGCCAAAAAGACTTCCTTGTGCCTTAAACATCCCATCGACAGATTGCAGACAGTTGTAAATCTGGTATTCCCTCATGTAGGGGCTAGATTACTAATTCACATAAATTAAGGATATAAGTAAATATAAAAAATGTGTGTTGATTTTTCCAAGGTATTTCTTTCTTTTTTTTTTGTAAATTATTTACATTGGAAAATGGAAACTACTCTTCATTGTACGCGTTTAATTGGGGTTTTACATTTCCAACCAAAACAAACTCTTTAACTCGCTCCTACAACATTTAGCACAGATGGGAGTGTTTTCTACCTAGAAGCATGACCCAGAAACCCTTATAAAACATAAATGTCGTCTAAATTGATCATCACCGTTTCCAAACATAACTAGAAAATATACTTTGGCTAGGAGATATTAACTTGGGATGGACATGAAACAAAAATAAACTCTCAAGTTTGTATCAAACTTACGGCATAGGTTTCAATCAATAATTTCAATTAAAACTGAACCAAACTGGATAATCCAATCAGTTGGACCGCCAATTAGTTCTTATTTTGGTTTACTTTGAACCACAAAATTGTTGTAACTTTTGAATTGGATTAGGTTACTTGGAACCTATGGTTGGACCCAAACACTTAAAAAACCATGAATCAAAGTGGTTTTGTAAAAATCAGGCACCTTATTTCTTTTCACTTTGTTCCAGTTTTAACCCTAAAAAAACCTCCCCCACTTTTTAGACACTTTGACAAGATAACAATGAATTTAGTTTATGCACTTTATTCCAATGTTAACCTTGCATCAAAATAATCAAAATAATACCTTTGTTTTCACTTTTTTTGGACACCTTCTTTGATAAATCATTGTCATTCTTTTTATATGTATTAATCTAAATAAATACTCAGGTTAAAAAAATCTAAATTGGTATAAAAATATCTATTATGAGTGTTGGTATTTGAATCATTTAATGTTACGTTGGTGTTATGAAATTTATTAACTCATAATTAACTTGAAATATTTGGATTTAGTTTTAAATTATGTAGTAATTTTATATTTATATTATATATATGTATATATTTTTAATTTAATTATTATGTTATTGGTTTGACCATTAGTCCAACTAATTTGACCATGCAAACTGTAAACCACTAGTATTTTTAGTTTGACATTTGATCTGATTTTAAAAATAATGGTTAAAATACGTTCTTATTTCTGGCCAAAAAGATATTGCCTTACGGAAACAGCTGCACATAAATAACTATTCTCTTTACAAGGTCTAAAGTATCATCCTCCCTTCAAAGAAAGAACAAAAGCAAACATGAGTCAGTCCATATTTAAATGCCTGTGTAGGCTTAGAAACTGAAAATGATATTGTCGGTTGCAAGCATCAGAAAGTTCTACCATCTCTTGTTCAACTCTAAATTTCCCCGTTGTGTGTGTGTGTGTGTGTTTTTTTTTTTTTTTTTTTCTCTTTTTAGAAGTTGGTGGTGTTGGAATGCATAACTGAATAATAGAAATATCGTAAAGATCAACAAAATTGACAAATAATGGACACTGCTCTAATCGTAATTGGAGTGATAATTAAAGGAATAAAAGTTCTAGTTTTCCCTGATGAAACACAACCAACATGTACTCGTAATAGAAAGCTACAAATATAATGTACATCTGTGTAACAGAATCCCTCTGGCCATAGTTTTCTTTTCCATCAACTGGTTGATAGATTTGCAGGCGAACCCCAATAAACGAGTCATTGGCTCCACCTCAGGACCATCAGCTTCATTCGTTTCGATTCATTTGCATATGCTACACATCACTCTTTCACCAGAGAGTGTGAATGTTAACTTAAGAGTAAAAGTGGTACGTCTTGGCTTCAGTTATGATTGCCCTCAGTCCTCCAATTGGTGCGACGATCATTAAGCTCACTCCAAGCGAAATGCAAATCTGAAATCAATCCATTTAATTCCATATATTCATCAAAAAGGGCAGCAAATAATTAATACCGTCAGAAGAAAAATTCCCAACACACCCAGTTAGTCCACCAAGACAAGCTAAATCTCTTTGGGTTCCGGATTGTAAGCCATATTATGCAAGGCAGCTGAAAGTTGAAAGAACATAAATTGTTAAGCCAAATGTTAATCCTCAGGAGAGATCTTACGAGATTCAACTTTTTAAACATTCAAGAGACTTACAAAGTAAGTTGTTGGGGCAAAAGCAAATCCTCCGAAAAACCCTAGGAGACCATTGAAGAATGGGAAGGTGATAGCAATAAACATTGTGTAGGCTGCAATGAAAGGATGTCAATGTACTCTCACGAATCAAAACACACAACAATAATAACAAATAACCTTGTCCCACTAAATGAAGTCGGTTATATGGATTCAAAACATAGATCCATTGAAAATATTGTAGAAACTCCTAAGAGTTATACTCACCCACATATACATTACGCACAACAAAACGAAGAAATTTAGTAGGTCTGAATCTCAGTTTCCTCACCAACACCGTTTCAATCATGTCAAACACTGCCATTGCAAAAATCTAAGAAACACAGAAAAACCAGGAATATATTGCTTTAGGTGCTTTGCAGCAAGCAGAAGGAATCATATGTGGTGGGTGTGTGTGTGTGTGTGTGTGTGTGTGTTCATCACCTGATAGCTTCCAATTAAATGGATAACGACAAACATGTTAGCCATGGCAATGAGCCATTCTGGTGTCTTTAATTCAATGAGAATATTTTCGTCGCCAACCTGATTTCCAAAAACCCAATAACCAATTAGAGCAACTGGGAAATAGCACACAGCCACGATTATATAGGCCACAATGACTCCTCTCCACATAGGACCCTTGGATGGATTCTCTGGTGTAGATGGGATTGTTGCTTGGATTTCCAGAACCACATTGTGTCCAGCAAAGCCAAAAGCCACAGTGCCAAGGGCATTAAAGAAGTTTAACACATTCCCTGCATTACTAAGATCTGATCTATACTTATAATCTACATTGTCTACAATACCGTGTTTTAAACACGCTGCCCAGGCAATTGTACAACAACTGTAGGACAAAGAAATAGAACAAATCAAACACTGCTGATCGTGTGGTTCCTTATATCTAATTAAAGGAAGCTGCATAGATAAAACAAGGGACATGGATGTACATACCTCAAGGACATGATTGCAGCTGCCAAAGATACACCAGAAATAGCATTGAAGTTGGGGAGATGGGATAATACAAATTGAGCAGAGGCGAAAATCATAATGAAATAGGACACTTTGATCTCATCACAGCCAGGACAGACGGTGCGGTGGAACTTCTGCAATGACAGTCCTCCAGTAACCATGTAGACAATGCTTACACCAACTTCAACGAGAAGTTGCTGGGGCACCACAATAAATAGGCCCAGCTTTTCACCAAAAGCATACTGACCCAGTTCATGGTATCTGTCAAAACGTCTTCCCGGAACCATTTCATGCATCTCCACCATTTGCCAGAGAGTATATAGTGTAATGATCCATGAGAGGACTAGTACAGTCACACCAGGACCCCTGCACAAAACAATATTGGAATCATAAAACCTTCAAACGCTTGGCATGCACAAGTGTATGCAGGATTTTTTTTTGGTTGTTGCACGATCATGGGACGAGATCATGTTAGAAAAATTCCAAAGACATGGGGCTAAAATTAATGCAATCGGGGTTTGAATACTCTTACCATCCTAGTTGGGCCATGCCATAAGGGAAACTGAGTACACCAGCTCCAACTATGGTCGTAACGTTGTGAAAAGTTGAGTAGTACCATTTCGCATTTCTCGAAGACGTAACTGGAAGCCAATCATCAATTTCCTTCTGGCTTGCTAATGTTTCATCAAACTATTGAATAGACAATTCATCTTATTCATAAGAACAGAGGTATATAAGAATAGATATGCAATGAATCAGAAAAATTCAATTTTGGTGGCATTTAAAAACTGAGAAGGAGCTGGATTTTGGTACGTACTTGTGGGGGTTGACTTTTCCTGGGGCATCAAAAGTAACTGTAGAATCATAAAGGTAAGGGAGGCCATTTTTCATTTACATGCGAGTCCAATGGTTCGTCTTATCAAAAGCAAACAACACACTCAGGGAACTCACAAACTTTTTGGAGGTACAACACGAAAGCAAAGGCTATTCTTAGTCTGCAAAGTGCTTATCTTTCTGTTAAATAGGTTAATCAAACTTCTTTATAAACTTTACCCTTCATAAAACCAGAATTCAAATGAAATTTTGCATGTTTCCCTGGCAGTGATTAATTAGTGTGTGCAGCTTTGATTTTTTAACCAAAGCAATATGAGAGCGACTATATCTTGAAAGTTGCGAATTCCTATTTTCAACGAGTTTCTGAACATGGTGTACATAATTCATCGATTTTGAGTAACAACTCTCTCTCTTTGCTCAAAAAAAAAAAAAAAACTCTCTCTCTCTCTCTCTACACACACACACACACACACACATCACATACTGAGGGAAGGACAGGTTGTCACCTAGCTGGCTAGTAAAATATAGAAGGAAGAGACATTGAGTGTGACATAAGAAAATAAAGTATGGCAAACTCTGAAGTCAGAAGATATTACTAGCCCATAATGGCATGACCTTCCTTGCTCTTGCCTCACCGGATAGAATCATAGAACACGCAAATTATATGATTGTTTGAGCAAATATATAATTAACCCCAGAATCATTCTTTTATGCTTGCTGTTTTTTTTTTCTTTTTGGCAGATGGCACCCAGTAGCCCGAGTCTACCCCACTTGAGGTAAAGGAACTTGACAGTGCCCATTCTGATCCAGATCGATCACTTGTGTGACCCTTTCAAGTGGGCAAACCCTTCCATATGCAGCTGCATTCTCAGGAGTCAAATTCTAGACCTCTAGTTAAGTTGATATAACTTTCTTACCAATTGAATTAAGCGGTAAATGGTTATGCTTGCTAGTTAATTAGTCACAACATTCATTTTTTCTGACACCATGTGGTAGCAGGATTATAAGTCAAATAATGACTAGATAGTGACATATTGAAAGAAAGAGATTATTTTAAGGAAAAATTAATCATTTAATTTTTAATTCAATCAAAACTCAATCCTTTAAACTTTGACTTGATACAATTCAATTTCTATAATTTTGACTCGATTAAAATTTATTATGTAAACTATGACTTAGAGCAACTCAGTCTGTATAGTGTTAGCAATTTAAAACATTGGTTTCTTACATTTTAGAAAATAAAATTATAAAGACCAAAGTTATTTCTAGAAAAGACTAATGTTTTAAATGGTTAAAATTATAAGGATTCAAATGCATCAAGTCAAAATACAGAAACTAAATTTTAACCGAATCAAAACTATAAGAATGAAATGCATCAAGTTAAAGATCAAGGATTATTAATTGAGTTATAATTATAGAAACCAAATAATTATTTTTTCCTTTTTTTAATAAAATATTAGCCTCACATAACCTTTTTTTAAAAAAATAACTGCACACAACCTACCAATCCTACTCAGATGTGCTGATCAACATAAAATAAGATTGGTCCAAATTTGGACATTCCCAACAAGCCTATTCAAATAGATAATAATTTAATTTAAAAGTTTCTCAATTATTTTACTCCTTTTATATTATTTATAGAACTTAGAAAAATATTTGACTAAGAAATTATTATTGAAATATATATACTCTCTCCATTCAAAAATGTAAGGCATTTTTTGAGGAATTCTATGTTAAAAAATGTAAGGCATTTTTAATCTTTCAAAGTGTAATCATTATTATTTTTTAAAAGTACTCCTATTGAATAAATCATTCATATTTATTTTAAGGTGAAACACCCTATTAAATAGAAGTAAATATGATAAAATAAGGCTAATTTGAACACAAGTAACTCTTTATAAGGGGTAAAATTCAGTTAAAAATACCTTACATTTTTTTTAACTAAATGATTCTTTTCACAATAAATGATTCTTTTAACTAAAAATTATTTATAATTATAATATATATTTTTGTCAATGTTAAAGTAATGTTTATTTTAATATTATCATATTCTTGATCATTTATTAGTTATTAAAATTTATTATTACATTATTTTTAATAAGTACTTATAATAATAGTTTTAAACATTGTTAATAAACTATCGCCCCCACTAAAATTTTCTGGCTACGTCCCTTGATCACTTCATATTATCCGAAGATTTAAGCTGCAACAGCCAGCTTACTGGGCAAGAGGTCACGAGTTGGGGGAAGATGAAAAAGCAAGGGGTTCGTCATGAACCATTGAGTGAAAAAAAATTCTTAAAAAACGTATTCTCACTACACATGCACGTGTGTCATATGTATTCCTTCCATTGAATTTTTGGCATGAAAATTTAGAACAATTTGCAGAAACAAAAATAGGAGCAGAACTAAAGAACAAAGGAATTAAATGAAACGAAAAGAGAGCGTAGAAAAGCATGTTATCAGTAGGAAGGAGAAAGAAGGGTCATACAGTATTAGTGGAAGTGCCAGCATACGAGTCATAGTTTGGTGCTTGAGTTCCATGATGAGTTGACAAAGACCTCACAAACTGCAGAGAAGATAGCTGGGCTCTGATAACATTAAAGATCACAAGAAGCATACCTCTAATATATAATGCGGTGTAGAATTCTTTCATGTGGTTTTTAACAACTTGTTGAATTTTCTACCGGAGGACATCACACAACATAGAACTTTTCTGGTGATACATTTTCTATTTGATAAAATTTGGTCAACGCAACACAACAATGACATTTTAATTATTAATTAATTCCGTCAGTAGTAACAAAAGTAGAAACTTTGGTCAGTGTGTTGCCCAGGAGATATTAACTTGGGATGGATATGAATACATATACACACACGCATTCCCTGAAGTTTGAATCAAATCATAGCACAAGTTTCATTACCCTCTTACACAGCAAAGAGTTACGCGTAAATAATTATTCATGTCCCATAGTGTCATTCTCCCTAAAAAGAAAAAACATAAAACAAAATTGACAAATATTGTACACTGCTCAAATTGTGGTTGGAGTGATAAATTAAAGGAATAGAATTTTGATGATGATTACTAAGAAAATGCGATGCAATGGATAGACAGATACAATATACACTGCGAGATTTAAAAACGTTCAACTTGGACTTTAAAAATTTTCTTCAAGGAACTGGGCTTAAAAGACACTTTTCTAATCACTCAAAAGTCTTAAACACTGAAAAGTCTTCATAGCCGATAAATAATTTAGATAATAACCAAATCACTTAATATCATGACATTATTTTTTTTTTTAATTAGTGCTCATTTTCAACATTTGACATTGACAATATAGGTAACAATAAATAAGCTTTAGAAGATAGAGATGAACGAACTTTCTGCAACTTGATTCAACCCCGAGATGAGCGTCATAATTCGGAAACTTCTAGGAATAGGGGAATGAATAACACAGTTGTTGCAGTTGAATGGTTCATTGGAACATTGCAACTGTTAGGAGTAATTTTTTTATAGAAAGAACATAAAATAGGGACGAAAGTACATGGCAAAACAATGTGGCGGGAAGAAATCAGTCAACGTTGTCACTCGGGCATATTGGATGACAACTGTGGGTTCATCATGGTGTCCTTGGTTTCATAGTTAGTAAGCAGCGTCATCATCCAGAATACAGTTGATGGTATTATTCCTCCATAAAAATATAAAGAAAAAGATCATTACCATGAGGCAAATTGTATTAAATAATGAAGAGTTTACAATGAAGATGCAAGTTAGTGGTAACTGGGGAATTGTATAAAGATGCGCTCATTGACAGCTTGATGAGAGTTAAAGCAGGAGCGATGTTATGAAACGGAGCTTTGATCCTGACCTCCAGTGGACCTCAAGGCAAGTACAACATCTTCCATCCTAAAGAAGATTTGTATCTCAGATTTCACTGAAAAAAGTTTTCGTAAACCATCGGACCTTCAAAGTTTTTCTAACCATTAATTCAGCATATAAGGGCTTAAACATAAAAAAATCTTTCATGTGCCACAACAACTTTCTCCCCACTCCCTTCTATGGTGTTTCTGAATTGGGATAAATGTTGGAAACAAAAGGGACACTTAAATGTTGTTTGAATTGCTTTTTCTAATTAAAGAGGAAAGAAAATGGAGGAAAGCCAATCCCCCTCATTCTCCACCTACAGAAGAAAATCCATTCCCTGTGGGGGCTCCAAACAACTACAAATTTCTTTTCCCTTCGATACCCCAACCAAAGTAGGTAAAATAGACTCCCCTCATATATTCTGTCATCACAGTTAGACACGACCAAGGCGAAGACCTCTCCTTTCATTCATTTTCCTTATCAACTCTCGGATGTAATGTGTGGGAGAACAATATCCAGGTCCTTCATTTCCTCTCGTAATGATTCCCTTCATTTTCTATGTTTCATTTTCTATTTTCATTCCAGAACACAGTCAGTATTAGCTGGCCCACCAGGTTTTCTTTGATTTCAGAGTCATTTGCCAACACTTTCTCCTGTTTGCAAGTGTCCGATGAATACGCATTGCACTCTGCAGATGAGTATCATCATTAAGACAGAGCAAAAAGCTGAGCGCTATCCATTCCCCAAAATATCATCCAGAATGCGAATTGGTCCCACATGACCCAAGTTGTTAAAGAAACAGTGAACCAAGACATTCCAAGTAGCGATATTGGGAAAGATTCCTTCAGTTGTCATTTTATGAAGATACACAATGGCCTCTTCAATGCCTAACGAATTACAAATGCCACACAAAAGACTAGTATATGCAACTATGTCTGGATGCCATTCCTTTTCTTCTGTAAGTTTATCAAAAAGTTGCGTGGCCATTCTAACCTTACCCCACTTACAGTATGCATAGATAACTATATTAATGGTAGTGGTATCTGGCTTTGCTCCGCTCACCAACATTTTCCCGAGAACCTGGAAAACCTGTTCTTGAATTCCAACACTAGAGAACCCATACATTATAGTATTATAAGTAACAGAAGTTAGTTCCAACTCCAGCTCTTCCAACTCCTTAATAAGCCCACTGGCTTCTTTAAATCTGTTAGCCCTAAATAAACCGTCCAACAACTCATTATATGTTATGATATTAGGCGAGCACTTATATTTCTCCATCACATCAAGCACACCCATTGCCCATTCCACTCGTCCCTTGGCACACAAGCCCTTAATAAATGTATTGAATGTAACAACAGTTGGAGGACAGCCATCATTGTTCATGATCTCAATAAGACGATTAGCTTGGTTAAACATAGAGTTTTGACAAAGGACATCCAGCATGCAGGAATATACCACAACATTAGGACGGCAACCACAAGTTATCATTTTGTTCCACGTCTTAGAAGCATCTAGCAAAGTCCCAGATTTTGCAAAACCATAAATAAGAGAACTGTATGTGGTAACATTTGGAGGGCACCAATTCTTTTCCATGTGATTATAAACAGATATAGCCTCTTCTATATAATTCTTGGTGCAGAGACCATATATTAAAGTGTTATATGCAACAACATTGGGCTTAACTCCCTCTTGAATCATACGACTCCACAGGCTAAGAACCTCACCTAATTGGCTGCACAAAAAATAGCCTTTCATCAAGGAAGCAAATGTATGAATATTTGGGCTACATCCTCTCATAAGCATCTGGCCAAGTACAGCAAGAGACATGTCAACATTCCCCAAGTCACAAAGACAATTGATAACTGTAGAGTAAGTGACAACATTTGGGTCAATGCCCTTATCTAGCATTTCAATGATCAAATCAAAGGCCTCTTTAAATTTATTATCTTTGCATACTCCATGTATCAAAGAATTATAGACAGGTACCAAAGGGGCAAATCTCGCAGCTAGCTTCTTTGCTTCCTCTACCTGACCAATCTTGCACATAGAAGATACGATAGTTGTGTAGCTCACAGCATCTGGAGGGCAACCCTTACTTGACATTTCTACAAGCAACTTGCAAGCCCCATCCACCTTTCCATTTTGACAAAGAGCCTTGATAAGAATGTTATATGTAAAAACATTTGGCTCCAAACCTTCCCCCTTCATGTTGTTATATACAGGATTGATCAACTGAAACCGATTTTCATCCAGCAACAAATCGAACAGGTGGTTGTATATCCTGACAGTGGGCTTGCACCCAAATTCCCTTATCCTATATAACATCTTCAAAGCTTGATCAGCTGACCCAGCTCGCCGATAACATTGTATAACATGGATGAATAAATCTTCAGAGCAATCCAACCCCTCCAACTTCATGTGTTGCAAAAGATACTGAACACCATCAATATTGCAATTTCTTCCCAGTTTCTCAATCATAATCTGGTATGTCAAGTGGGTGTGTTTGAAAGCTCTAGAATTGGCCAAGGACTTGAAGTATTCAATTGCCAACACAACATCTCGCTCATGTCTCAATCTTTTCACAACTTCAGATTCCTTAAGAACGGGCACATTTGCAGATTTGACTTGGGATTTATCAAGATCAAAAATTGGTTTTGTGCTGAGTACAAACGGGATTGAAGGCTTGTGCACTTTTAACACTAAAGAACACCCTTCCTTCAAATACATAGTATTATTATAATTTAATTGTAGCCTTCAGCTTCAGATTCAAGAACCTGAATACCCAAGAGAAAATAGACTGAGAAATCCGTCAAAAGGATGACTTCAAGATCGCCCAGCCCAAAAATTCTTTGTTCTCTGAATCTTCATGTTCAACTTAGTGACCTTCATAATCAGGATCCACAAAACACAGGATTCCAAATGCAGGAATTTAATCACTTGACAAATGAAAATATCACAATATTGTCTACTCCTGCCTCATGGAACTGAACCACCATAATGCCCAAAATTCACTACAAAGCAAGTCTATGAAGAAACTTTATTTGCCTCACGACCTGGACCTGGACAGAGACATGCGGTAGTCTCTAACTCGTTGAAGAATACAGTCTCCAACAAGGCCTCGCCCTGCCAGTACTCAAGTTTGAGACCATCAATGGTTAATGAGTCAGTGGATCAAAAGAATGGTTCGTGCCTGACCAATGGTGGCACAGTGCAGCAGTTTGTTGCTCAGAGGGGAAGGGCCTTTTCCCAGCAAAGCATGATATGCTGACTGTCTTTTTTAACTTTTTTTTTTTTTTTGGAGAACAACAAACAACTCCCAAGAGACTAGTCCAACATACAACAAACGTACACCATAAATAATGGCAATTTGCTTATAAAATTGCCTTTGAAGCTTTATCATGCACCCTTTTGATGAAGTTGTCTTCAACTCTAACAATAGCTAAGAATTTCAGTCATTGTTGTTGGCCCTGAAAAATTCAAAATCAAAGTTTTTTTAACTAGTTAGTAGAATAAGTGAAAATGATGCCGGCACATTGGTCCTCATGGTGAGCCATAGAATGACATTTTCATGAAGTACCACGTTTGAAGCTGGCGAGAGAAGGATGATAGAGGGGAAGAAAGAGAGAATAATTGAAATGATATTATAGTCTTGAAATGCCCATCCAAAATCATGTATTATATTAATCAATTTCTAAAGTTGTAGAAGCAAATGTAATCATTGCAAGGTTCCGTGTCTGCTCCTCAAGCAAGTAACAGCAAAAACTTTCCCAACAACAACACAACACACAATCCCCATAAACATAAATTCAAGAGGACAAAGATACCATGCTTGAAGTACCCAATTCTGGAGTTTCTAGGACTTGTAAAAAATGCTAGTAATTTCTAAAATAAGCTACCCCCCCCCCCCGGGGGGGACTTCTTAAATTCTTTAGACATTTAATCAAGCCAGTCAACTTTTTACCTCATGCTTTTTTCTCCTTCTCCATTATGATGCCAATTAAATTATGCCTGAAACAAATAATTCATTCGCTCCTAATTCAAAATGGAAAACGAAATTGCAAATCAAGGTACTGTAAGTTGCAAATCAAAGAAGTGTAGACGTGTAGTTGTAAATCATAAAAATAATTTCTTAAGAGACATTCAAATGTTAAGCCATCAAGAAATTTCTGAAGCAAATTTTAAATCTTGTCAAATAATAAGTTTAAAATTCATACAAACAGAGATAAACAATCTAAAAGCTGCAAAACAGTATTATGGAAGAGATAAATCAGAAGCCATTCATATGCTTATATTGAACAAATTTAAATCACTGAGATATTAATTTAATCCTACTTTTCTCTCTTGTTGCCAAGATTTCAATTGTATCATAACCCCGTGCTGCGAACATAGGCGTGTACCTATACTACGCTCAGTGGGGGCACTAGCATCTGACCCCACTGCAATCTTTGAAATATACGTAGTTGATATAATACCCTTTTAATTTTTGTTCCAGACACTTTGACACAACTCGAACCAAGTCATTCACAAGATCATACATCACAAATACCTTGAGAATTTCCAAAATTGATGATAATATAAAAAGATTAATAAACAGAATGCCGATACACAACAAATCCAACATCGCAAAACAACAAAATCCAAATCATACAAGTCGCTAGTAATCAAAATGAAAAGGGCAGAAGTATAATAGCCAATTACACACTATTCAACCAAATACTAGCACCCAACAAAAAAAAAAAAAAACAATATGTAAATATACCCAAATTCAAAGGCGTCAATATTCAACGGTTACACGACCAGATTCAAAGCCAAATTAAAATGAAAAATTTAAAATAAAGCAAGAACGGCCCCGCAGGGAACAGATAACAAAGGGAACAAATTCAAAACCAGATTGAACAAACAAATTTGACCGGATTTTGGGAATAGAAAAGGCCCTAGGGTTCGAACCATCTTCACTGCTTGGCCGAGAACAACCACGCAGGGCTGACAACGGTGAACGGCGTCCGACGGAATATGGGATGCCTGTACGCCGACGAAGAGTACTGGATCTGCCATTCACGATAATGGGTTTATCGGGGTTTAAAAACATATAATTAGTGCTTAATAATTAATTTTAGGAAGAATTTAGTATAGGTCGAAAATTAATTATTGAAATAAAAAATTAATTACTCTAATTAATAAAATTTTATTTTATTAATTTATTCTAAACTCCTCTTATACTAGTTTTATACCCCGTGAAATAGACAAGAATGTTTTAGTTTTAAAAATAAAAATAAATATAAATATTAAAAAATTATTTTAATATCTTAAAGTAAAATATATTACTCTTCTTTTTATTTTGTCTTACTTATAAAAAATTTTTATGTTTAAAATTTATATAAATTTCTTTTAGAATCAATAAATAAGAGTTATAATCTTTTATTTTAAAATATTTATTTTCACTCATTAAATAATTAGTTAACAGTTAAGTCACACATATTAAAATAAAATATTATTTTTAATGCATTCTTTTAAATTTTTATTTTTATTTTAATTTTTTAATTTATTAAAATAATATTTCTAACACGTATTTATAAAGAAAAAAATTAATAAAATAAGAGATAAATCAATCAATATCATTTATATTTTATGTTTATTTAAATTTTATAATTTTGACAAAATATTTTTAAATTATTATCATACTTAATTGTTAAAAGTTTTTTTAGCCAAAAATTGTTTTATGTCTATTCTACAATGTGCTACGCTTATATATATTAGAAAATAATATTATTTTTTAAAATGTCTCACTTCCTACATTTTGAAATATAATCTAGTTTGTTTTTTTTAAAAATGTATTGCCACATGTATCATCTTAAAAAAAATAAAACATATATTATAATGAATCGTATTATAATTTATGTGATAATATTATTTATAAATCATAATTATAATGTCTCTAAATCAAGTAAATCATATAATTCATATTTTACTACCATTTATGAATCATATGTACAAGTATTACAAGTGATACAAAGATTATTAAAGAAAGATTAGGTGAGAAATGGAAGATAAATTCATTAACATTATATAATTAACTTATAGCTTAGTTTTTTTGCTCAGACTTGAGGCATAAAACTACATCAATATTTTAACCATAATCAACTTTTACATATAAATAATACAATAATAGGTTTTTATACTTTATGCATTTGAAGCATATAAACAAAAACTTATTCTATATATGCTCACACAAATTATTTTGATTTGTTACCCTGTGTTAACAATAAGGATAATTTGGCACACTAGTCAGAAAAAAATACTACAGTTGGTAATTCAAGCGAGTTGGGCTTATTTGGGCCGAACTTAAAGTATCCTACTCCTTTTAAAAAGCTCATATAGTCAAACTCGACCCTAGCACCTTTAGGGTTCAAGCTTATTCGGACTGACCCAAATACCTAAAACTTTTTAAAAGTATTTTTTTATTTGTTGAACTAATTTTAATTTTTAAATAATTTTATTAAGGCATAAAATATTATCTTAATTTTAAAAGAATGAAATAAAAATAAATTATCAACTTTGTACTTAAGTAGCTCTGTTATTATTTTATTATATTATTTATAATTTATTCGTAAATGTTTTCTTTACTTGTAAATTAATGTCCTAGTTATTTAAATATTACTCTTATCATAGTCATATGTAAATATTTTATATATTTTAATTAAATTATATTATTTTAATTATGATTAAGTTAATCTCAATTTAATCACAGTTAGACTACTAACTTAAAATTATTATCCTAATTAGTTTAAAGTTTTTAATAACTTTTAGATAAATTGTACTTTACATTTTTATGAATATAAAAAAATTTGCCATCATTATATTATATAAAAAAATTATTTAATTATGAGTAAAATATTTTTGTTTTGAAATCATTTTTTTAACTTTTTATATTTTTAACTCTTACATAAAAGGGATTCTTATTCTAATTTAATCTTAACTTTTAACCAAATCTAGCATGGACAATAACCAAGTAATTATTAAAGAATATTATTCTATTTATTATGTTTATCTAGTAGTAGAGTTGGGAATTTGTACATGCCAAAATTTTATTTTTAAAATTATTTTTAATTTTATTTTACTTTAAAATTAATCATCTTAATTTATAAAAAATATAAAATTATTTTTTTATATGCAAGTGATTTATAGGACTCAAAATTTTTAAAAAAAATTGGGTCTTAAAATATTAAAATCAATATTAAAATATATTTTAAATATTATTTTGAGATATTTTATTGATTAAAAATAATAAAAATATGAAATATAACTATTTTTAATTTTTTTTAAAAAATAACTAAATTAAAACACTTATATATATAGTGTTTTGGTATACAATGATATAAAACTTAAAAAATTAATTAATATTTGTCATATTTTATATATTTTTAAAAAAATTATTTTTTTATTTGGATATTCGGGCCAAGCTCAAACCCGATCGAGCTTGGCCTGAATTTTCTCAAGCCTATTCAAACCTCCTGAATAGGCCTGAATAATAAAAAATTAATATTTTTTAGGCTTGGTCCTAAGTTTTTCGGGCGGGTTCAAGCTGGCCCATCGTGCTTGACCCAAATTACTAACTCTAAAAAATACTGTATTCAAAAAATATGGATTAAATTTTTAAAAATTTGGGAATATAGCCTGTTGTCATTGATATATAAGGAGTTTGCCATTGATATACAAGGAATTTATCATTAAAAATTTAAAACATACAAGAGGTTTATTATTGATATATAATGATATATCATTAACAAATATAATAAATTAATTATAATATAAATATAATAAATATTGGGCTGTTTATCTAGTTTGGTCCTATAATATGGGCTATATATGCAAAAACCTCATAATAATAAATATATAAAAAAAATTTGTATATCTAACACCTATTATTTTACTAAACTTTGGATGAATATTTATAAATAATAATATTTAAATTATTAAATATAAAAATATTAATATGTTAATAATATTTATTAAATTTTATTTTCATAAGACTTCAGGGTACCCACGCTTCTAGAAAAAGACTTTAAGATGTCTAGTACTCCTGAAAAAAAATTCAAGGGCAAATTAGTACCAAAGGACATGGTTGGAGTCTTATTTATTACTGTGCATGGGCCTCATGGGCATGTCTCGTCAGGAGAATGGAAAGTCTGCCCAAAAGGGGTGAATTGAGCAAAATAAAATTTAAAACAAATAATGTAAGAATTAAATGAGACTAGGAACAATTCACCGAACAGAGCCGAGTAAAGGAAAGAAAAGCTTTGCGCAAAGTATTTATCCTAATTTAGCTTTAACTATTTAAGCCTATGTCCAGTTCTTAAGATACGTTTGAGATTTTTCACTATCTCTACCAAGATTAAGCCAGGGTCTTGGTTATCATAGTACAATTTATAATCCTTATTGAGTCTACAACTATCTCCTTTACAAAGGTAATATCAACTCCCTTTAAGCTCCTTAAGCTTAAGTTCCTTTGTTTCAAATGACTAAATGAATGATGAATAGAGTAGGTTCAATAATGAACTGCTACTTGTTTAGAACTCTCTCTAGTGGATATATAATTAATAAAAGTACAGAAACAAAATATACTAGCAAAAAGTAGTTAGAGAATGAATGTAGATACTTGGCTCAAATTCGCTTCATATGTTCTTCTTCATAAATGCATCTAATTTATAGTCAATTCTGGATATTTATCTATTAGACTCATATAACTTATGTTGATTACTTCAACTTGGGTCCTCGAGGTCTTTCATCTTTTAGGACAATAGAACAATGCCTTTTTGGCAAGTTTGCATGTTGTTGGCACCTTAAGAAAAGTAACGGCCATATACATTAAATACCTTAACAAAACGTAGAAAAGATGGATACCAATAGAGAGAGGATAGACAGGTAGAAAGAATAAAATATATGATTAATTTCACCTGTGGTTGTGTTCAACAAAGTTCTAGGATGATAAGGAAGTGAATCACAACACTTTGAAGTTGAAAAGAAGAGGATTCTAAGATGGTCCAGGATGCTTTGTTTCTGGATCGAAAAACATAAGTGAAATCTTTAAAAACATACCAATAGAAGTTATGACATACCAATATGCATATGAATGTTTTAGAGAAAGCACATACCAGTAGATGAATGATATACTAGTAGAATTATTCATAAAACACGATGATTAAGGCTAACATCTATCGGTAGAAGAAAAAACATTTGGGTAAGAAATAGTCATTCAGTAGGTCTGATACATATACCGATAGAAGTAATCAAAAGATAAAAGAAAGAGAATAGGAGTGGACATTCGGGTAGATCTTACTTATATGGTGGAATTAGGATCTTCAGGTAGGTTTAGGATATACTGTGTAATGACATAGAATTTAATTGAAATTTAAATTAATGATAAGGTATTTTGAGGATATATATATATATATATATATATATAAGTATTAATTTATTAAGGAGGTAAGTTAGCCTAGTGGTAATTGAGCTAGTCTTTTATAAGGCAGGTTTTAGATTTGAACCCTTCTAAGGTAAGGGGAAAAAATTTTTATGTATACCAATAGTTTAGCTAAATTACTAGTTTGCCTCTTGGTGTAAAAAAAAAATAAATAGAAGAAGTAGATAGAGATTAGACACGCAAGCATGGGATCTTCTTTTTCTTCTTTCTTCTCTTATCCTTGTCATAAGATTCGAAGGCTTAGATTAAGAAGAGGGGGGAAAGAGCTTTGAACCATAGCTGCATCTCTTCCAATCTCCCTCCCTTGCTACTCTTTTCGTCTATCACTAGTGAACTTGAGCATGTTGCAGATTTCTTCTTCCTCTCCCTCTGTTTTGCGTCATTGATCGCTTAACATTGCGAGTCATTGTTCAACTCGTCCGTTTGTTGTGTCCATTCACATTGTCCGCTATTCTTCTCCTCTCTTAATATTATGCTAGGGTTCTTAAATTTTAGATTATAGGAGTGGTTGATTCCTACAAGAGGCTAATTTATTGGTTTTCTCCTTCCCCTATTCAGCATCGAACTCCTCGCCTT